AGGGCCAGGTCTGAGGCTCGGGGGCACCTGCGGGCTCAGCGGGGGCACCAAGCACGGCGTCGGGACCTCACAGGGCGTCTACGGGGACCCAGAGGACATCTACGGATTCTCAGACCACAGCGTGAGGTCTCAGAGGACACCTACGGGGCCACAGATCATCTCATCAGAGACGTCAGGGGGACCTACGAGTGTTTCGAAGGCAACTTGGATACCTACAGATGCCTACCAGAGTTCTCACAATGGGCGTGCGAACTCTCATACTTGTCCGTTGGGTGGAGGCTCGGCTGGGACAGCAGCGGACCCGAGGACCTCAATGACACCAGATGGGCCGTCTCAGGGGGTCCGACGCCGAAAAGCTGGACAGGCAGATTACGGACGCCAATCTGACCCAACATGGTCAGCAACTTTAAAGCATCACAGCGCTGTGGCTCAATATTCCCGAGTCCAAGCAAGGCTGTCTTGACTTTGGGACAGAGGATCCGATGCCTAAGCACCCGGCCACGTCCAACATGCGCAAGGCCGAGCTGCTGGCCGAGCTGGCACAGTGGGACGAGAACATTTTTCAACATGACTGTCGAGATGCTGAGAGCCAGGTTTCGTCAGATCGCCAAGGCCATGCCCCTCGGTGGCGCTCCCGTCCGCCACAAGAAGCATGCCAAGCTTGTCGCGGATGCGACGGGCATGGGGTGTGTCCTAACTTGCAGGAGGCCCCAAGCGACCTCCAGATCCCCATCGCGGAGAAGTGCCAGCTCAGCCAGGGCACGGCCAGGGGGAGCGACCTGATGCCGTGCGGAGGGCACAGGGGCAAGACGATCAAGGCGCTGCTGGAGCAGGAGCGGGAGCACGCCGGATGGCTGATCAGCCTTGCCGGCTACAGGTTCCAGAGGATCACGGACTGGTTGGTCTTGCAGGGGATCAAGCCCGACGACATGATGAACCAGGTGGTGCTCGAGCTCCCGCAGCCGATGGGCAAGGCGGAGAAGCACGACAAGCTGGAGAATGCGCAGCTCCTGATCAAGGAGCAGCCCCCTCAGCGTCCGACGGCGAAGCGTTCTATGCAGAAGGAGGCCAGCGGGATAGACCACAAATCGACGACCCATGGGGGAGCAGATCATCGACCTGCTGAGTTGAGTGACATGAACATGGCTGTGAACGCGCTGACGACCAGGTTGCAGAGGGTCGAGGAGAAGAGCTCGTCGTCGAGCGGCCCGTCTGGGCGGGCCGGGGCTGTGAAGCCCTGACCGACTCTGCTGCTACCTGGCTGGCCAGGTGCGTGGACAAGACTGCAACGCCAGCCTGGACGTTCCTGACGGGGGCTGCCAGAGTGAATTTGATCGAGGTCTGTTGCTAACCCGCGTCCGGCCTCGCTCAGCTCATGATGCAGGGGCGGACAGTGCAACTCGAATCAGTTGGAATGGCTTCGATCGGTCCACCACTGCAGGCCTGCACGAGGCCAGAGCTGAACGAGAGCACGTCCTATTCCTGTGGTTGTCGCTCCCCTGCGGGCCGTGGTCTGGGAATCAGTCGGCATAAGCCGGAGGTCTGGGAGCAAGTCTTGCAAACTGGGAAGAAGTCTAAGAGGCTGATCCGCAACTGTCTGGCGCTGGTCGTGGACCAGCTCGCGGACCGAGGCCATGTTCACTGGGAGTGGCCAAACGATCTTCAACCATGCCGTTGGCTGGTGCTGAAGCAAGTTTTTCGCGACGAAAAATTTCAACCTGTAACGCGGGACGGCTGCGCGCTCGGCGTCGAGGCTCGCGCCACCGGTCCCCCCATCACCAAGCCGCGGGATAGCTGGACGACATCGGATAGACTTCGTCAGAGGATGTCTATCGGGTGCGACAGACGTCATGAGCACTGTCCTTGCGTCTGAGGTGCTCGGACGGCGGAAACGGCGTACTACCCAGATGCGTTTGTCAGGCGAGCTGTCAGAGCCATGCTGGAGGATCACAAGATGGAGGAGATCGGCAACTTCGTGCGCGAGATCGAGGTCTCGGACGGGGAGATCGACACAACCTACGCGTTGGCGACCTCGGAGGTGAAGATCGACCAGGCCGAGATGCGGAAAGCGGAAATCACCGCCCGGCGGATCCATGCGGCTTGAGGCCACTGTCCGTTCATCCAGGTGGCCAGTTCGTTGGCGGCGAAGGGCGCTGACGAACTTGTTGTGGAGCACGTGAGAGGCATGAGATGTTTGGCTTGTGGTGAAAGCCAGCAGCGTGGTCCATCAAGACCGGTGGGATCGACCGACGAAGTACCCAAGAAGTGGGCCGTTCTGCAGATTGACCTGGCCGAGTGGGATGGTCCATGCAGCCATGAGAAGTTCAAGCGGGCGCTGTATTTAAACATGGGGTCGAGGCTCGGAGTAGGACACGTCCTGTTTTAGATGGTCAAGAGTCGGAACGCCACGGCGGAGGACCTGAAGAACTCGCTCTGGAAGTCGCTGGATTGCTTACTTTGGCCGTCCTAGGGGGTTTCAGATTGACCCTGAAGAAGCCTAGATGATCAACGCAATCAGGGATAACCTTGAGTTCAGCAACATCCACATGGAGCTCATCCTGGGCCAGGCCCATTGGCAGGTCGGCGGCGTCGAGAGACTGATTGGCCTCATCAAGGACACCATGACCGTCTTGACCAAGGAGTGCCCCGTGCGCTCTTGCAAGGAGTATCTGGCGCGTACAATGGCGGCGTATAACGAGTTCGACTGGCACAGGACCGCACTGGACCTTGATGGCTCCTATCTCGACGCCCCAGAGGATCCAGCGAACATACCGACGCTGGATTCAGAGCCTGTGGACGCCGCGTTCAGTCAGAACTTCGAATTCATTATGCGGGCGCAAGAGGCTCTTATCAAATAGATCTATTCACTCGGAACGCACGAGGAGGGCCAACCATGCCAGGTCTCGGAAACTACATGTCTACACGCCCGGCACGCTGGTGTACTACTTCAGGAATCCGACGAGCAGCTCGATGACTGGGCGCTTCTACGGTCCAGCTCGAGTTCTGGCGAGCGAGACGGTGCATCGGACTGGCGAGGTCTAAGCTCGACCCAGGGTGTGGCTGAACGCCTGCGGGCGGCTCATCAGATGCGACCCATGCCAGCTGCGAGAAGGGTCTGATCGAAAAATGTCCGAGCACGAGATCATCCACGGGATGTGACAGTATTCAGATCTGGAAGATGACTCGCGTTTGATTCCGAGTGACACGGAGTACGCTGATGCACTACCGACGGTCTCGCCCCTGGACTCGGGACTCCCAAGACGACGGATCACTGGCAAGAGGCCGCCTCAAGAGTCGGACTCTGGGTCCAAGCAACCTCGGACAGGGAGCTCATCTTCATCGCCAAACCAAATTTTAACACCAAATCCAGGTTCATTCCCAGCGACGCCGGCCAAACCCCCGAATCATTCCAGGACGACGCCGTCGACATCTCCGTAATTATGCATGGGGTGGCCTATCTCCCGCTGAAGCCGGTAAGGTGAGGTCAGGACGACGGGAGCGGCATGATCAGAACGAAGAGACGACCTTGGTGGCAGAGGCGCAGCTGTTCGAGTGCTTCCGGAAGAGTCCAGAGAACGTCATCGAGGTGGCGATCGACCTACCAGAAGGAGCCCGCGGTGGAGCTGCCGCCCGTGACCTGGGCGCGTTTGTGGCGACACGGCAGAGGAGGCAGAGAGCGGAAACCGAGGATCGCACGCTCTCGGCGCCGGACCCGGAGAAGTCCAGGAGGGCCAGGATCCAGGAGCCGCAGGAGTGGATCACGGAGACGGTGCCAAAGGGCCTTCCCGACCAAATCTCGGCCCCGGGTGACAGGCTGATGCGTCTTCGGAGGGTGCTGACCTGGAAGACCAGACCCTGCTGAGCCCGGCGGTCGACGGGCTGAGGCTCGTCTGGTCCTTCCGGGTTCTCAGGACCCCGACCTCACCACGGAGGAAGTCCTACGCGCCAGCGGCTGCTCGGAGCACCCGACGCGTGTTCTTGCAGAAGGAGGCGCATCTCAAGGTGATGGTGGCCAAGGGCGAAGTGAAGTCCGCATTCTTGCAGGGCGAGGAGCTCGACAGGGACCTGTTCGTGCGGCCGACGGGCGAGATCGCGGAGATGCTGGGACTACGGCTGGGCCAGGCGGCCATTCTGAGAAAGTCGGCCTACGGTCTCGTGCAGGCCCCGCGGGCGTGGCACAAGGCAGGCAATCGGAAGCTGAAGGACCTTGACTGGAGGCAACTGGAGTCCGACCCCTGCGTGTGGACATTGACCAGAGCTGCCGATACTGGCGGTCCCGATCACTTGGTGGCCATGGCCTTCTCCCTTCCTCTTCGCGGGCCGCGAGTCGGACGAGGTCTGGCGGCGAGCGAGACATCAGGTGATGGAGGCTTTCAGGTGGACCGAATGGGAGTACGGCACCTTCACAGAGTGAGAGTACGGCACTACTTCCGCCCGATTTGGCGACGGCGCGCGCCGAGTACGGAAGGAAACGGGACCCGTCGCTGTTTCAAAACATCAGTGTCGGCGCTGTCTCGCTCTCCCTGCTCATCATCGTCCTTATCCTACTTCCGCCTCCTCGTTCTCCTCCTCCTCCTCCTCCTCCTCCTCCTCCTCCTCCTCCAACGTCATCGTCCTTTCCGTCCTCCTCCCACGTCCTCCTCCTCCTCCTCCTCCTCCTCCTTCTCCTTCTCCTCCTCTTTCTCGTCCTTATCGTGCTTCTCCCACTTCCCCCTCATCATCCTCACCCTCCTCCTTGTCCCCTCGTCCTCCTCGTCCTCATCGTCCCACTCCTCGTCCCACTTCCTCCTCCTCCTCCTCCTCCTCCTCCTCGTTTTTTCTCCTCCTCTCCCTCCACCCCTATCCTGATCCTCCTCCTCCTCCTCCTCCTCCTCCTCCTCCTCCTCTTCCCAGGTCCTGCCCCCCCCCCTCCGACTCCTCCAAGTCATCCGCCCCGGGGCCAGGAAGAGGAGAGGGGGGGCCGCCCAGGCGGGGCGAACCCTCGCCGCCCCACCCCCCGCCATGCTGATCTCCACCTCGTCGGTGTAGAGGTACCTGGAGGCGCGCGGGGGCGCAGCGCCGAGGAGGAGGCAGAGGAGGAGGAAGAGGAGGAGAAGGAAGAGGATGAGCAGGAGGAGGAGGAGGAGGAGGAGGTGGAGGAGAAGGAGGAGGCGCGCGGGGGCGCGACGCTGGACGAGGGGGCGATAGGGGGAAGCCACGCCACGTGCGCTCGCGCCAGATCTGCCATCCTATCCCTCCCGCCCATCTCCTCCGATTGCGCTGTTTGTTCTCCAGCGGCCGACGCGTGTCATAGCGGACCTGGGACCCCAGAGGGGCCCATAATCGTGCTGTGCGCAACTGGACAGATGGGAGCTGCGCACCTTCGAAGGGGAGGTGGCAGACGAGCAGGAGAACGAGGAGGACGAGGAGGAGGATGAGGGTGGAGGGCGAGAACAAACAGCAGCAGCACCAATAAGCTGGAGTGGAAGGAGCGAGAGGAACAGGAGGGCCAGGGGAAGGCGGAGGAGGGGAAATGAGGGGGGCGACAACGATGAAAGCGGGCTCGGATCCAGACAAGTTGACTGTGCTGGGGCGCCATTGTGAACGACGGGAGCAAAACACCGATCCAATAATGAGGCCTACGCTGCAACGGGAACACTGTGAAACACCGAAAACAATCGGATTGAACAAACCATCAGAAAACCATGACCGACCCACGAACCAAGGGAAAAGGAATTCAGAAACGTGAAGCATGGCTGCATTTCCAAGACACTTGCAATGTTGAGTAGATCGATCCTGATGCACCGTGCCAATTATTGCGCTACACTGTGCCACGCTGAAACAACATGCGCCATTGTGCGGCACATTGCGTTGTGATCTTTCGTGTTGTGGATCAAGTCGCCCTTGGCCTTCCGAACCCTGGCCGAACTGCTCTGGGTCTTGAGCTCGAGCTGCCCGAGCGCATAACTGGCCCAGAACTGGTTGTAGTTGAAGCGTGTGCGACACTCCATCAGCTCGACACCAATCTCCGACTTGATTCCGAAGCGGGGAAAAAGACGACACGGGGCGCAGAGCGCACGTACACGCGCCACGACATGCGCCAGGGGGCGCGCTGGGGGATGCGCCGCGGGACGTGTCAGGGGGCGTGGCAGGGGACGCGCAACGGGACGGGCAGGCAAAGCGCCAGGGGACAGACCACAGAACGCGACAGAGGACGAGCCAGGGGACGCGCCGAGGGGGGGGGGGGGGGGGGGCGTACGCCGGCCCGCCCTTGGGCGTTCGGAACGTACGCCGTCCCGCGCTTGGGCGTTCGGAACCCACGTGTCTTCACGCTTGTCCCGCTCGGGGGCGTCAGGAGCCCACGTGTTTTCACGCTGGTCCCGCGCTGGGGCGTTAGGAACCCAAGTGTTCTCACGCGTGTCCCGCTCTGGGGCGTTAGCAATGTTGTCACGTTTGTCCTGCTCCGGGGCGTCAAGAGCCGGCGTTCGGAAACCACGTGTTGTTACGCTTGTCCCGCTCCGGGGCGTTAGAGGCCCTGCAGTTCCAACTCGGGGCATCCATGTCAGATACCGCCATGGGTGGCCTGGACATGTTAAAACACGTGGTTACAGCTCGTGACCACCATGTAAGATACCACCCTGGGTCACTCGGACCATTTTTGAGACACTGGAGACAACTTCCTGCCTCCACGCGCCTCCCCCGACTCCCCGACCTTCCGACTGCTCGACTGCCCGACTCCCAGACCCCAAACTCCTGTACCCCCCGACCCCCAGTCCCCCCGACCCCCCGACTCCCCGACTCCCCGACTCCCCGGCTCCCTGACTCTGACCAGCTCCCCGACTCCCCGTCCCCTCGATCTCCCGATTCCCCGACCCTCCGACTCCCCGCCCCCCCGCCTCCCTGGCTCCCCGACTCCCTAACTCCCTGGCTCCCCAGCTCCACGGCTCCCTGGCCCCCCGACTCCCCGACCCCCCGACCCCCCGTCCCTCCAACTCACCGAATCCCCGATTCCCCAACCCCCAACCCCCCGACCCCCCGACCCCCCGACCCCCGGCCCCCCGACTCCCCCGACTCCCTGACCTCCTGACCCCCCGACTCCCCGACCCCCCCGACCCCCTGACCCCCGGCCCCCCGACTCCCCGACTCCCGGACACCCCGACACCCCGACCCCTCGACTCCCCGACTCCCGACCCCCCGACTCCCCGACTACCCGACCCCACCACCCCCAGACACCCGACTCCCCGACCCCGCCACCCCAACTCCTCGGCTCCCGACCCCCTGGCTCGCAGGAAGGCCCAGGCACGCCCAGCCCGCACGGAGACGCCAGGAGGCCAAACAATGAACGAATCGATCTCGGACACGAATGAACTCTCGACGTTCCGTTCCGGGCCCCAGGAAGGCCTCAAAAGGCCCATGTCAGAACCCCCCCTGGGTGGCCTGGACACTTGAAAACACACGGTTCCAGCGCAGGGCCACCATGTTAGATACGCCACTGGGTGGCCTGGGCACGCAAAAACACGTGGCTCCAGCCCGGGACCACCATGTTGACTACCCCTCGGGTGACCTGGACACGTGGACCAAGTTAGATACCCATCCGGGCGACCTGGGCACGTGAAGATAAGCATTTCGCCTGAGACATCCTCGGATTTCTGGCCCCCCCACGAAGTCCCCGCTCGAGACATCCACCAATCCTGCACAACCAGCGTTCCGCGAGACGTCCTCAACAAACGCATATCCGCCGGCCCCCTTGTGGGGCTGTAGGGCGAAGTTGCTGCTGCCTGCGCCAGTTTCAGTTTCAAGTCTCCAATGTAATAGTCCTGCTTTCTGCTTCCTACTGTAAACTGTTTGCTCTAAATTGTTGAAATCCGTGCGACGGGGGGGAGCTCCAAAGGACACGGTTACCACGCCCGGATCGCGGTCTCCGAATTCAGGTGGGGGCGTGGGACATGTAAAAATACGTGGGACTCGCGCCCCTGAGGCCATTATCCAGATTAAATTACTCAATGTACTCGCGTCTCTGAAGCCACAAACCCTCGTAAAGTACTGAATTGTTGCGTCCCCAAGGCCACAAACCCTTGAAATTACTCAATGCTCGCGTCCCCGAGGCAAAAAACTTTGCAAATTATGCAATAGTCGCGTCCCCCAAGCCATAAACCTTTGTAATTTATACGTGTTCGCATTGCCGAGTCCAAGGGTGCTCCAAGGCGCCCGAAGATGGTTCCAAGACGGCCCAAGAGGACCCAAAGAGGCCCCAAGAGCGCTCCAAGAGGCCTCCCGAGAGAGCCCCGAGAGGCCAACATTGTAGATTTTGCGAAGCTGTTCGGCGGATGTTGGCCTTCTCGCATTTTCGGTTATCCGACGCTCCAAGACGGCTCAAGAACCTCCCGCCCCAAGACACAGCCCAAGACGCCTCCATGGGGGCCCCAATACGGCCCAAGAGGGCTTCAAAATAGCCCAATAAGCGCTCAAGACGGCCCGAGAGGGCCCCCAAACGGCCCCAAGAGGGGCCCAAGCAGGGGACCACGAACTGAACATTCGATATTTGTACACCCCCAGGACGCCCCAAGAGGCCGCCGAGAGGCCCCAAGAGGCGCCCAAGACGCGCCCAAGAGGCCACCAAAAAGCCCAAACGATACCCCACGAGGCCCCAAAACCAGGCACGGTGGCGGGATGGCAGAAAGCCGCTCGGATAACGCCAACGTCTCAATATGCGCTGATCATCCCTATCCACCCCCGCATGATGTTCCCAGATGCGCCAAGGCAGCGCCGAGACGCACCGACGCGACTCTGATGTATCCCATTCTGATGGAGAGGGGGGGCCGGCGGCAGGGGGCGAAGCCCTCACGGAATGAACAAGCGTTTCGTTAGGGACATCCTGAACTATTCAATTTGTGGGCCCTGCCTGAACGCAGAACGCAGAACGCAGCTGTCAACGCCAAGGAGGGCGGCCCGAAAATAGGCGACAGGCATGCCTAGCACGCTGACCCTTCGAGAAGGACCGGTGAAACTGCTGTGAAGAACTACATGCGAGAAGCCAGCGAAGCAGCGAACCGCTGCAGCGAGTTGCAGCCAAACGCTGCTGCGAAGACGCCAAACGCCTCACCGCCAAACGCCTCACCGCGGGCCCTGCCTGATCTCGTCGTTTCATCGCGAAATGCATTCGCCTGCCATCCAAAAAGGAACCGTGGGTCGCAGCCCTTACCGGGAGAAATAGCTCGTGTGTAAAAGAAACGCACGCGAACAGGGCCGACAATATTCCACAGAGTCAGGGGAGAGAGGAGAGTAGTATTCATAGTGTGTCAAAGGGGAGCGGAGGAAGGATAAGAGGAACAGGAGGGGGAGAAGAGAGAGATTGAGAGAGGGAAGAACCACGGATAGGGAATGTTGCTCCCGACCTTCACCGACCTGAATGAGGACATGCCATTTATTCTCTCTTGATTGCCCCCTCCTCCTCCTCCTCCTCCTCCTCCTCCTCCTCCTCCTCCTCCTCCTCCTCCTCCTCCTCCTCCTCCTCCTCCTCCTCTTGTGCATGTGCCGTCAAAGCAGCTGTGGGCTTCAGCCGATATCGGAAACAGGAGATGCAGTGCAGGAGGAGAAGGGGGAGAGAGGGGGACGGGGGGGATGAGGAGGGTGGGGGGGTGATGCGAGGTGGGCAGAGGCAGAGAGATTGAAGGGGGGTTAGGAGGGGGAGGAGGGGGAGACGGTGGGAGGGGTTTTGTAGTTTTTCGCTCTTGGGGGGGCCTCCAGGGGGCCTTCGTCGCCACGGCTGGGTCCGCCCTCGAAGCGGAACGCGCTCCTGAAGAAGTCGGGATGCCCGATGCTGCGAAAGAGGGACCGGGGAGGAGGACTCCAGGAGGACTCCGGAGGCGACGCCTTCGGGCCTGCGACCACCGACGCTTTCCACCACTCGCGCTCTGACAATGTGTCGGACCAGGGGTCGCTTCCAGTGGCTGCGCTCCGCCGAAAGCCCCCCCGGGGCGCCGGAGTCGCCCCGAACGGCCCTCGGAGAGGGCGGGAGAGAGACCGGCGACAGGCAGGAGGCGGCAGGAGGAGCA